TTTCTTTCTTTCTTTCTTTCTTTCTTTCTTTCTTTCTTTCTTTCTTTTTCTTTCTTGCTCTCTCTCTTTCTTTCTTATTTCAGCTTATTCACTTTGTATCCCAGCTGTAGCCCCCTCCCTCATCCCATCCTATTCCCACCCTCCCTCCCTCCTTCTCTTCCCATGCCCTTCCTCTAGTCCTTGAATATCTTGATCTTCCTGCCCCCACTTCCTGAGTGCTGGGATTATGGGCATGCTCTACCACACCCTGTTTGTACATGTCCACATGTGTGCAGGTATGTGGAGGCCACAAGTTGACATTGGATGCCTTCTGTAGTTGCCCTCCACGTTATTTTCTGAGACAATCTCTCATTGAGTGTGGGCCTACCTCTTTGGTTAGACTGGCTAGCTAGGGAGCCTTGGAGATCCTTCTGCCCCTGACTGGAACTGCAGGTGCATGCTTGTGCCAGCATTTACAGGGGTACAGGTGACAGAATTCAGGTCCCCATGCTTGGGCAGTGAGCACTTTACTGAACGGAGTCATATCTCCACATCGGTTTTTTTGTTTGATTGATTGCTTTTGTTTTTGATGTTGGGGATTGAATCCAGGGCTTTGTGCATTTAAGGCAACAACTCTAGCCCCCTAAACACAAATCTGAAAAGTAGCTTTCTAAAGGCCAGTTTTAACAAGATAGTCCAATGTATAAATGTCCTTACTACCAAGCCTAAAGACCTGAGTTTGATCACTGGGACTCACCCTGGTGGAAGGAGAAAACCAGTCTCCTCCAGTTGTTCTCTGACCTCCAAAGGCACACACAGACACACACATGCACATAAACACAGACAACACATAAACATTCACACACAACACACATACACACTCACACATATACGCATGCTTATATTGTGGCACATGCTTGTGCTTGCATGTGCATACAAAATAAATAACTAATAACAGTAGCATGTTAAATCAACACAAAGTTTCCGAGTGTAGATAATAGTTTTATACATCTTCTGAAAGTATGCCTTAATTGTTATTTTAGGCCTTTAAAGAAAATCTTTTGCTCTTGTATTTATTTGTTTATTTATTTTTAGGAAATTCATACAAATGAAAAGGAAGTAGCAGAAAAGGAGGAAGTCACTCTTCACTTGTTGCCAGGTAACGGTCATACTAGCATCATATCTCACATACAGCTTGAGGCCAAAGACAGATTACATCATCCCTGGTGTTGCTATATATAAACTCCTTTGTTTTCATCTTCTGGCACAGTGATGATGTTTCACAACAAAAACACACCTGGCTCTGGATGTTACAACATTTGGAAAAAAAAATGTCTGTTTCCCTTTCCTCCAACCTGATGGAAATAATGGGAATTCCTTACTTCACAATTCAATGAGGCCTTTTTGAGGGTGTCTTCAAAAGAAAACTGGCTTCATCCAGTTTTTCTGGTCTCCAATGAAGAAAGCCCTAGTACCTGGAAGAATGCTGCAGTTTGCATGTCCTTCCTGCTGCTTCCATCCATAGTTGCTCTCGGATATCATAGCTACCTGGGCCTTACAGGACTGGTGGGCCTCACCTGTCTGTCAGCGGATGTATTTCAGCACAGGTACCAGAGATGCTGGGACCACTTGGACTTTACTCTGAAGTCATTCCTTATGAAGGAGCCCTGATTGGTTGATGGTTTCTGAGACAGAGGAGCGTGGTTAAGCTCATATTAAAATTTTAATCACTTGTGAGTTCAAGAACAGAGACCTCTTGGTGGTATGTCTCTCTCTTATGTGGATGACCTTGCCAACTGTATACTCCTTTTTCCATTTTTCCCCAGTCCAAAATCTTTTTTTTTTAAATAAGTGTTTTGTTTATTTTAAAACTAGGTTTCAGGCTGGCCTGGGATTTGTGTCCCTTCTGCATCTGTCTCCTGAATACTGGGCTCATAGGTGTACATGTAGCATCCAGCTTCAAAAGGTTTTTGTTTTTCTTGTGTATTTTTCTGTAACAAGGATGCCTGACTTTTTATTTTAGACTTTTAAATAATGTTTTTAAATTTCAGAGGCCTTTTTCTTTAATGATGGCCTAAACTTTTATTCTTCCCTCCTATGGTTGATTTTTTTTTTCCCTCTTTGGAATTGCAGATTCTGAAATTAACCTCTGTTTTTAACTGTTTTAAATGTATTTTTCCATCTCATAGCAGCTGACAGCCTCTTGTAAGTGCAGCTCTGAGTTGACAGCTTCCCTGCGCCTCAGCCTAGAGTAACAGCCTGTCCAGACACCAGCTGCATGTCATTGTCTGGTCTGGACAAGGTGCTCAGACAAGCCTGCACACCATGTTGTAGAAGGTCTCGGCGGATGTGTGTGGTAGCCACTGCCCACTGGTTTCTGGTCTGCAGTGCATGACCATAGGATGAGGCACTCCTGGTCTTGGGGCGGGGGGCTGAAGCACAAGAAGCCTTTCCCACTTATTCACCTTGACCATAGCTAAGGTACTTTTTCTGGGACTATTTTAAACCCCAAACGGGCTCTGACTTGTTTGTTTTCTTCAAATTCTGTGGTCTCCCTGGAGGCTGATCTAATGACTGAGTTATCTTCAGGTGTTTCCCTAGTGCTTCACTTGGAGGTAACTGCCCCTTGAGCGAAAGGAGAAAAGTCTGCTATGTACCCTTGAGAGTCTGAGTGGCTGACGGCTTATTCTTTATATTTATGTTGGAAGCTACAGTAAATGAACTTTTAGCCAACAAGGGAATTCAAAGGTGAAGAAATCCAGAGGGAGACCCTGTGGGGAAGATGGTTATCTGCTATGATGAGAAAACTCCTTTATTGTTATTGCGAAGTTTGTTCTATGTTTCCAGTATTACTTTCTTTCCTGTCCTCACCCAGACACCAGCAGAATTTCTCTTCTGGGCAGCAGAGGATGCTTACCTAGCTCCCAGCCCTAGTGTGTTTTGGCTGTATATTCAGTCTTCAGGAACCATAGCTTCTCGTGGGCTGGGTTCCTGCAGATGAAGCATGGAAGGTAGCACATTGAGAGGAAATGCTTTGAATTAAGAAAGAGAGACAACCCGCACCCCATCCCTCCTGACCACCTTTTTCCTCTCATTCTCCAGCATAGAACCAGGATGAGACACAGGTGTTGTGGAAGGCTTGAGTACCCCTGTCATCTGAGAAGGCTGCCAGGAGGCCCTGGCTTACACAGGAAAAGGGGCCCTGCTGGCCAACCTGCCTGCCTTTGCTCCACTTAAAGTACCATTGCCGTAGGACACCTGCTGGGTCAAAGTAATGAAAATACATGATCTGCTCTGGAGAAGGTAGCTGGAAGGCAGGTGCAGGGATGCACAACTCTAATCCCGACACGTGGAAGGCTGAGGCAGGAGGATTACTGTGAGTTAAGGCCAGCCCAGGCTATGTAGGGAGCCTAAAGCCAGTCTGTGTAATACAGTGAGAACCTGTTTCCAAACGAAGGAAAGAGTTTTGAGATGATTATCAGCTGTGTGAAAACTCCCGCGATCAGGGTGAGAGGTCAGAGAAATCCCAGCATGAAGATGTCTCTGAGCCATTTTGCTTTCCCTCCTCTGCTTCACATTCTCTCCTCAGTTTGCAGTTCCTGCCCCTCTGGAGTGAGCTACTGTCAAGCACTGAGCTGTACTGTGTGTTTGTCCTTATGTAAACAGTGAAAAAGCTTAGTGCTCACATTCTGTGCAATCCCTGAGGCCTCTGAGGAGAGCTTGCTTTGGTTTCCATCAGGTGAACAACTGCTTTGTGAGGCCAGCACAGTCCTGAAGTATGTGCAGGAAGATTCCTGTCAGCGTGGCGTCTATGGGAGACTTGTCTGCACTGACTTCAAGATTGCCTTCTTGGGGGATGAAGACTCGGATAACGGCAGTGTATGTATGAGCTGCATTTGCTGAGTGGTAGGAAAAGTGCAGCCGAGACTCCATTGTTTTCCCTGCAGCTTCTCTGTCTCTCAACACAAACAAAAGACAAATCTGTCCTGTTAGTGGTCTGCTTTTGCCCTTTAGGGGCTCCTTCCAGGAGGACCACCTCAAAATTGCCACCTGTGCTTCATGACTCCCTTGCTTTTGTCTTTACAAGTTGTCACCATCAGCTTTTTCCCAATTTCTTTTGTATTCAGCACAGCATGAGTCACTTATTGGAATAACCTCTCACTTACACAGTTCATGTTTCCTCTCTGCTAAGCTTTTTCACAGATTCAGGAACTGAGGGCTGTAGTGAAACTGATCAAGAGTGCAGCCTTAGAGCTTAGGTTGTTTCTGATCTGAACCTAGTTGCAGTGTCATTGTGAGATTGTGTCCACTTAGGAGTGAGCAGTAGGGGATGGACAGCTCTGCATCTCAGTGGAAACCCGTTGAGAGCTCTGCCTGACCCCCATGTGTCAGCTGCCCTGGATCTCTTTGCTTCATACGAAGCACAGTGTTGCTGCTCTCAAGGCTGGTCTCCTGCCCTGCTGTCTGCTGCAGGGCTTAGCTCCTAGTCCTGAGCAAAGATAGCTTTTGCACAGAACTTGACTTCTCCCAGTGCTCCCCAGAGCTGTCCAGGGAGCTTTGTTGTTCACCTGTTTGCATTTGTATGCAGAAATACTGGCCCTTCCTCTCTTGATTTTCCATGGCCTGGTGGGTTTCCTGGGTGCAACCCAGAAGTGGCATGTTCTTCCTGGGTTGAAGTAGCTGTTACTCATGGGACTTTCTTGCAGGTACTGCAGCATCTCTTTCTTGGGGGCTACGGATGTCTTTCTCATTTTCTCTCAGTGTACAGTGGAGAACAGTAATTTGCTCTGTTCTGAACATCTGAGTTAATTAAAAGGAGTCATAGTTGTTTCCTTTTGATTTTTTTTTTTCTTTTTAGGAAACTCAGTTTAAGAATAAGATTGTAGGAGTAAATGATGTTCCACTCCACTGTGTGGATCAGATTTATGGAGGTGAGTGTCTCCTTCCCTTGTTGCTTTGCCCAGCTCAGAATACATAGCAATAAAGATGATATTACAGTCTGTTAAACTGCTACCTAAGTTACTTTGTGTAAGCAGCTTTGTGAAAGGTAAGTGCAGCAGGAAGCAGCTTACCCTGGGGTTAGGCTACTTGGTTAGAAGTGAGCCAAGCTGGGCTTGGGTCTTCTTCATTTGTGTGTCATTCTTTTTTCTTTTAAGATTTATGTGTGAGTGTAAGCCCACTAGCCTCAACCTTAGGATCTTCTTACCTCTCACCCTTTTTTCTGGGTGCTGAGTTTTCAGGTGTAAGCCACCTCACCTTGCCTGTTTATTTCTAATATTCCACACACAACTATTCTGCCAAACACATCAAATTTTAAAATAAATAAATATTTAAGAGAGAAAAGCTGCAAACCTGCAAAAGCTGAGAATGGAAGGGAGAGTGCTGGTATATATTTTCATGCAAGCCAACTTGGTTAGTCCAGGTTCATTATATGTAGGTAATGGCGATATGCTTGACACACATTATAGGTTTGGATGGCAGTGTCTTGGAAAACATGGTATCATACACAGTGAATATATACAATGAAAGCTTAAAAGAAAAAAAAGCCTAAACATTTATTAAAATAAGACAAGAACAGCTTAATCCAGACATGGTGCCGCACACCATGTCCCAGAAGGCAGAGCCAGGTAGATTTCTGAGTTTGAAGCTAACCTGTTCTATAGAATGAGTTCCAGAACAGAAACCCTGCCCCTACTACCACCAAAAACACAAAAAACAAAAAACAAAAAAACCCGAAAGCTGGATTGTATAACCTAGGTCGTCCTTTCTGATGCCTTAGTAAGACTGTCCTTCTAAGCCTCACAGTTTTCTTTCTCCATTTTGGGTTCAGGTCATTTTCAGAAATTGCTCAGCCATCTATGGTATTTTCAACACCAGTAGGTGCTGAGTGAGTCCAGGCTCTGGAGCAGGAAGGGAAATGTCATTTGGGGCTCTAGTCATAAATGTAGGAGTTGGCTTGCATGAAAATATAACCAGCACTCTCCCTTCCATTCTCAGCTTTTGCAGGTTTGCAGCTTTTCTCTCTTAAATATTTATTTATTTTAAAATTTGATGTGTTTGGCTGTTTGTGTATATGTATATGCACCACATGCATGCCTGGTGCCTGCGTTGGAGTTCCTGAAACTGGAGTTCCAAATGGTTGTGAGCCTTCTTCCATGTGGTGCTGGAAACCAACCCTGTCTTTTGTAAGAGCAGCAAACACTCTTAACTGATGTCTTCCCGGACTCAAATTTTATTTATCGCATGTGGGGATTGTGGGGAGAGGATGAGTCTCTTGTAGCTGGAGTTACAGGCAGTTATGAACAGCTTGACATGGATATTGGGAACCGAACTCTGGTCCTCTGAGAGAGAAGAAAGTGCTCATAGCTGCTGAGGCATTTTTCAGGCCCATCAGAGTGAGTTTTCTTCAGGCTGTTGGAGTCTGGTCTGTCCATTTGAATCTTAGCTTACTCCAGAGGAATAAAGAATCTGCTGGAAGCCAGGCATGGCTAACACTTTGGAGGCAGAGGCAGGTGGATCTCAGAGTTTGAGACTGGCCTGATCTTCAAAGAGAGTTCTGGGATAGCCAGGACTATACAGAGAAACCCTGTCTTGAAAAAACAAACCTTCCCAAAAATTAAAAAAATAAAAATAAAAAACAGAAAGCCCAGGGTGATGGCACTCAGGGTGGCAGGGCAGTCACTATGAGTTCGAGGCCAGCCTGGTCTACAAAGCGAGTACAGGACGATCAAGGCTACACAGAGAAACTGTCTGGAAGAAACACAAACAAAAAGCAAACACCCCCCCCCCAACAAACAAAAAAGAATCCTGCAGGGAAGGACTTCTGTCCTTAGAAGCTAAGAGTCTGTGTGTTCCTTTAGCATTAATTTGTTGTCATGGAACATTCATTTCTACTCATGATTTTTGTCATTGGTCTGTAGTGTTTGATGAGAAAAAAAAACCTCTGTTCGGACAACTGAAGAAATACCCAGAGAAGCTTGTTATCCACTGCAAAGATCTGCGGGTACTCCAGTTTTGTCTGAGGTACACAAAGGAAGAGGAAGTCAAAAGGGTAACTAGTTGCATGTGTTTTTAGGTTTATTTCCCATCAAGTTTTCCCCCACTGGCTGTAGGTTTTGCTTATATTGCCTGAGATGGAAGGGGGCCTTTGTGAAGCTGGGTTCAGCTGTAATCACATTCTTGGGTTAGTGTGTGAGAGAGTTGGGGCAAGGATGACTGTATTGACTTGGATTTGCTTCCATGAGTCTTTCAAATGCATAGTGCTGGCTAACTTGCAGGGTAGAAGGTGATGAGTGAGGTCAGGCTCCACTGGGGAATGCTAAGGCTACCCCCTTCCCCCTGACAGTCTGTCTACAGCAGGAACACTGACTTCCTACTCCTTAGAATCCGTGTTTACCTCTACAAGGTAGCGGTTGGGTGTGGATCTGGGAACACAGGTCACATGAGCAAAGCCAAGTCACCAGGTACACCTTTCAAGATTTAGCAGCATTTCTTGTTGGTCACAGCAAGTTGTTGTGGCCAGGAAATGCTGCAATTCATTATAATTTCCTAAGTTTTTCTTGCCAAGACAGTGAAGGTCTTGTTCCTCATAGTGCTCACATTAGGGAACGCCCAGCAAGAAGCCACTTTGCTTACACTGTCCGATCTGAAGTGAGTTATGCATGCCATGGGTAGTGCCCTAATTTTCTTTCAGAGACTATGAGAGTTCAGTTGGAGTGGGGAATATGATTGTAGTATCAATTCCAAGTAGGCAAAGAAAGCTGTAGATAGAGAAAATTCCCCAAGAAACAAAACATTTCCTTTTGGATAGTTATTTCAGTCATTTATCCAAGCATACTTTTGATTAACACAATAAACAGAAAGCATAGTAGACAGTTTTCTCTTTCTTTCTTTCTTTCTTTCTTTCTTTCTTTCTTTCTTTCTTTCTTTCTCTCTCTCTCTCTCTTTCTTTCTTTTCTTTCTCTTTCTTTCCTTTCTTTTCCTTTTCCTTTTTAGACAAGTGCTTGTGTAGCTCAGGTTGTCCTTGAAAGCTCTCTGTAGGCAGGAATGAGCTTGAAGCTTTGATTCCCTCTACTTTCTGAGTGCTGGGACTATAGGCATGTGCTTCTAGGCTTTGTGCAAGCTAGGCAAGCATACTAATAACAGCCTCCATCCCTAGCCCCTTCCCGTCACTATCCAGAGCGTCCACAAGTGAGTCAGCTAAGTGTCTTGCTTAGTGTCTGATATCAGCTGTGAGTCTTAGACATGTTGGATAGGACCTGACCTAATAGGACAGTTGAGATTTTTAACTTTTGGTTTTTGGGGAATTAGACTGTGTTTTAAATTTTCCCTAGAAATTCAGAGCTCTTAGAAAGCTTGAAAAATAGTGATCTGGTACTCTGGCACTATTCCAAAAGCTAGCTCATAGATCAAGCTTCAGCAAGGGTTGGTGGTGGTGTCCCTAGAGCATTGTTAGTGTGATAGAGAAAGATAAGTTGGCTCCTACCTTTTTTTTAGCGTTGCTGTATCAAGGGCATAACTGTATCCCCTGGTTCTTTCTTCTCTAGATTGTCTGTGGCATTGTCCATCATACCCAGACTCGTTTACTGCTGAAAAGACTGTTTCTGTTTTCCTATGCAGCTGCCGTGGATAGCACAGGTAAGGATCTTCTGAACATCACTGCACAGCACTCAGGAGCCGTCCTATTCGGCTTTGGTTTTGTCTCTCCCTGTAGCCCAAACTGACCTCAAACTCAGGAACTTCCTGCCTGGGTCTCTGGGATTCCTAGCAAATGTCCCTGTCTCAAAAATAAGTTGGAGAGCAGTAGAGGAGGACACTTGGTGTCTGCCTCTGGCCTCACATGCATAGGTGAGAGCACACACACCGATGAATTTTAATTTTTCTGAGTTTAAAAAAAAAGATAATATACTGAAAATGTGAAACTATTGAAAAGGAAAAAAAAAATGAGATGATTTAAAATAACCCGATTTATCCCTAAGTTCTTAAGATTCTAGAGGACATCATATATTCTTTAAAGTTTGAAATAGAGCATAATATCTAATAGATATTTGGTGAAAACAGGACATTTGTTCATAAGAAAAACACTCCAGTGGTCTGGCTTGATAAGGGAAAACCTGAAGACCTACTAGTGACACACAAATTTGTGTGTGGGGTGTGTGTGTGTGTGTGTGTGTGTGTGTGTGTGTGTAGAGAGAGAGAGGAGAATGAGAGTGAATGTCATTTGAGACAGGGTCTCCAATTCCAGGTGGCCTGGAACTTACAAGCAAAGGGACCCGGGCATGATCCCCACAGCATATATTTAAAAAAAAAAAAAAAAAAAAAAAAAAAAAAAAGCCGGGTAGATGGTGCATTCCTATAGTCACAGCACTTAGGGGCACAGGCAATCAGATCCACATGAATCAAGGCCAGCGTGCTCTACAAATAAGAGCTCCAGGACAGGCAGGGCTATAAATAAACCCTGTCTCAAAATTAAACAAACAAACAAACAAACAAATTTGAGAACAAGGCTGGGATGCTCATTAGGTAAGGGCCCTACGACCTGAGTTCAGTCCCAGAAGCCACATGGTAGAAAGAGAAAACCAGGTCCTCTGACTCTGCTCTGCTCCACCCCTGCATGCATACAAAGCAAAGGAGTAAATATAATGTAAAACAAGCAGAAAGTATGCAGCATGGATGTGCTTTCAGGTGTCTGCTCTCTTCTTCACTTCTCCCTTGGTTTATCTGCTCTGCCCATTGCTCTCCACATGGAGTGGGTGCTTAGTGACCCTGGTCCGGCTGTCACAGACATCTGGTTGGCTGGTTCAAGAGTGAGCATCTGCTGAGTGTTGGCTGTGGGCCTGACCCTGCAGAAGGTAGGAGTGAGCCATAATGCAGCAGAGTGTGGCTGCTAAGAGTGTGCGCTAGGCTTAGAGATGCAAGATGTTTCAGAGACACTGTCACATTCTAGAATTTATGGATGACTTAGATGAAAGAATAATGATTTTGTTGTCATTCCTCAAGCACTGTCCACATTTTATCCCCTTTTCTTTCTTTTCTTTTTCTTTTTCTTTTTCTTTTAGACAGGGTCTCTAGTTCCAGGTGGCCTGGAACTCACCAAGCATGCTAGGCTACATGGCCAGCCAGCCCTACTGGTCTACCTTCTCTGCCTTCCAGCCTTCCCAATGCTAGGATTACAAGTGCATACCATACCTGGCTGGGTGTTTGTTTGTTTAATTTTGAGACAAGGTTTGTTTATAGTCCTGCCTGTCCTGGAGCTCTTATTTGTAGAGCAGGCTGGCCTTGAACTCATGTGAATCTGATTGCCTGTGCCCCTAAGTGCTGTGAGTAAAGGTATGCACCATGCACCATCTACCCGGCTTTTTTAAAATATATGCTATGGGGTTCTTTTGCTTGTAAAGAAAGCACTTTGCTGATTGATCAGTCTCCCCAGCCTGTGTTGCTGTCGATTTCTTTTATTCCCTATGATCTGATGAGGACAAGAAACATTTCAGTTCTTCTGTATTTGCTAAGACTTGCTTTGCATCGTAAAGTATATATGGTGTATTTGAGAGGAAGCTCCATGGGCTGCTGAGAAGAATAGGGTGTATTCTATTTTTATTGGATAAACTATTCCGTAGCTATCTTAGATCCATTTGATCTATGGTATAGTATAACTCCTGGATTTTCTCATTCTATTTTCATTTGGATGACTTATCCAAAGATGAGATGGGGTTATGAAGTAACCTGCTGTTATCAGGACCTATTAGACTTTAATGCCCATTCGTGATTGCTTTATGAAATTGATTGTCCTAGCTTTTGGCACATGTATGTTTACTATTACTATGTTTTATGTAATTGAGAGCCCTGGCATTTGGCGCATATATATTCACTATTTGTATGTCTTCTTGATGAATTGTCCCTTATTACTATATAGTGGCCTTCCTTATCTGTCCTTATTTTGGTTTCAAGTATACCTCAAGTAACAGAATAGTTACCCAGCTTATTTTGAACTTCATTTGTTATAGGTTGACTTGCATCCTTTAATTTTCAGTCTGTGCCAGCTCTTGTCAGCTGTTTCCTAGAAATGGTAGATAATTGGATCTGTTAATTTTTGTTATTTTAAGTTATATCTATGTGAATTTTTTTTTTTTTTTAGGTGTCACTTGAGACCAGAGGTGTCAGGTCTCTTTGGAGTTGGGGTTACAGGTGTTTGTGAGTCATCCAACATGGGTGATGGGAATCAAATGTGGGTTCTTTGGAAGAGCAGTATTTGCTCGTAATTGCAAAAGCCATGCCCTAGTCCCTAGAGTTGGTTTTTAAAATATATTCAGCCTGTTTGCATCTTTCACTTTATTTGTTTTAATTTTTGGTGAGTTGAGGCTATTTATACTTAAAGTGAATATTGAGAGATATTTACTAATTCTACTAATTTTATTGGTTTTTTTTTTCTGGTTGGGTGGATTATTGTTTGCTAGGTCTTTCTGATGTTAGTATCAGGGGTTTGCTAGTTTAGTTTGTTGGATGTGATGAAATCCTAATTCTCTTTTGTTTATATATTACTGTCATGAAATTTATTCTTTTATGTACTGTTATAATTTTGACCTTGTGCTGGTCTTGAAATATCTTTATTTCTCTGTCAGTTCTAAAAGCTGGCTTTGCTGTTTATAGCAATTTAGGTTGGTAATTATTTACTTTCAGTACTTTAAATATATTGTTCCATGCTTTCCTAGATTTTAAGGAATCTAGGAATCTAGATGTTAATTTGATTGTTGGCCTTTGTAGGTGAATTGGTCTTTTCCTCAAAGAGCTTTTAATAATGTTTTATTCTCTGTCTTTCTGCATAAATTTTTGAGACATGGTCTCAGTTGTAGCCCAGCCTGGCCTAGTACTCACTATGTAGTACAAGGTAGCCTCCAATTAGTGGCTTTAGCCTCTCACATGCTGGGATTATAGGTACAAGTGATTATGCCTATCTGAGTTTTGTTGTTTTCTTTTCTTTTTTTTTTAAAAAAATTATTATTTTAATTTATCAATTACAGTTTATTCACCTTGTATCCCCCCTGTAGCTCCCTCCCTCCTCCCCTCCCAATCCAATCTTCCCTCCCCCTTCTCCACCCCAAGTGCACTGATTGGGAAGGTTCTCCTTCCCTTCCTTCTGATCCTAGTCTATCAGGTCTCATCAGGAGTGGTTGCATTGTCTTCCTCTGTGGCCTGGTAAGGCTGCTCCCACCTCAGGGGGAGGTGAACAAAGAGCAGGCCAATCAGTTCATGTCAGAGACAGTCCCTGTTCCCATTACTATGGAACTATCTTGGACACTGTACTGCCATGAGCTACATCTGTGCAGGGGTCCTAGGTTATCTCCACAAATGGTCCTTGGCTGGAGTATCAGTCTCAGAAAAGACCCCTGTGCCCAGATTTTGTGATTCTGTTGCTCTCCTTGTGGAGCTCCTGTCCTCTCCAGGTCTTACTGTCTCCCACTTCTTTCATAAGATTCCCTGTACTCTGCCCAAAGATTGGCCATAAGTCTCAGCATCTGCTTCGATACCCTGCAGGGTAGAGCCTTTCAGAGGCCCTCTGTGGCTGGCTCCTGTCCTGTTCCCTGTTTTCTCCTTTTTCTGAAGTCCATGCTCTTTGCCTTTCTGAATGGGGATTGAGCATTTTAGCCAGAGTCCTCCTTCTTGATTAGTTTAAGGTGTACAGATTTTAGTATGTTTATCCTATATTATATGTCTAATATCCATTTATGAGTGAGTATATACCCTATGTGTCTTTCTGCTTCTGGGATACCTCACTCAGGATGATCTTTTCCAGTTCCCAGCATTTACCTGAAGATTTCATGATTTCCTTGTTTTTTTTATTGCTGAGTAATATTCCATTGTGTAGATGTACCACAATTTCTATATCCATTCTTCAGTTGAGGGGCATCTGGGTCGTTTCCAGCTTCTGGCTATTACAAATAAAGCTGCTACAAACATGGTTGAGCAAATGTCCTTATTGTGTACTTGAGCATAAGTGGGACCTCATGAAACTAAAAAGCTTCTGTAAAGCAAAGGACACTGTCATCAGAACAAAACTGCTGCCTACAGATTGGGAAAGGATTTTCACCAACCCTATATCAGACAGAGGGCTAATATCCAGTATATATAAAGAACTCAAGAAGTTAAACAGTAACAAATCAAGGAATCCAATTAAAAAATGGGATACAGATTGCTAAACAGAGAATTCTCAATAGGGAAAAAACAAATGGCCGAAAAACACTTAAAGAAATGCTCAATGTCCTTAGTCATCAGGGAAATGCAGATCAAAACGACCCTGAGATTTCACCTTACACCCATCAGAATGGCTAAGAGCAAAAACTCAAGTGACAACACATGCTGGAGAGGTTGTGGAGAAAGGGGAACCCTCCTCCACTGCTGGTGGGAATGTAAACTTGTTTCTTGTTGGTTATCGTTATATGGACTGTGTGTGGTATGTACATATTCATGTAGGTGTGTGTGTACAATATTGTCAAATATTTTCCACAATTCCTCTCCACTTCAGTTTGTGAGACAAGATCTCTCATTGAACCTAGAGCTTATTGGCCGGTGAGTGTCAGGGATCCACTCTGTTTGCTCATCTCCTTCCCTTCAGCGCTGATTTACAGATGTGTGCTGCTGTGCCTGCCTGGCTTTTCTTGTTGGCTTGTTTTTTGAGACAGAGCTCTCTAAGTAGTCCTTGCTATCCTGGAGCTTACTGTGGAGACAGGCTGGCTTCAGTCTCACAGAGATGTCCCTGCCTCTGCTGGGATTTAAAGTGGAGGCCATTACACCCAGCCCCACTTTTAAGTAGGTTCTAGGGATCTGAGCTCATGTCCTCAGGCTTTTATACCAAGCACTTTACCCACTGAGCCATCTCCCTAGCTTCTGCTTTGTATTTCTAACATCTTGACTGTATGTTGTAGAGAAGAAGTTCTTTGTTGGTGATGTCCTTTTAGGGTTCTAAATGCCTTGTGTATTTGTGTTTTCTTATTTTATTTAATATTTGTTGGTTGGTTGGTTGGTTGGTTTTTTGAGACAGGGTTCCTCTGTGTAGCCTTAGCTGTTCTGAAACTAGCTCTATAGACCAGGCTGGCCGTCAACTCAGAACTCAGAGATCCACCTGCCTCTGGCTCCCAAGTGCTGGGATTAAAGGTGTGTATCACCACTACCCGGTGTATTTTCTCATTTTAAAAATTGTTAATGTCTTTCTTGTGAAGATTATTAAGCATTAAATTCATGTCAGATAGGATACATTCATTATATGAGAGCTAGTTGAGAATAAAAGTGCCTGTTATCTTGGCTTAATGGCCCAATTCTTGAATGCAAAGGCAGGTGGATATCTGTGAGTTCAGTGTAAGCCTGATTTAGGAACCAGGTTGCAGGCCAACCAGGGATATACACAGAGACCCTGTTTCAAAGAAGGAAAGGTACCTATCATTCGTGATGGGCTATGTATGGGAAAAATAGTTCTCATTAATATTAATTAATTACTATTAGTAAGTCAAACAGGAAATTTGTCCCAGAAGTTCATCTTTGTTACAGACGGTTCTTTATATTGTAGCTACAATATTGGGAGGCATAAGCATGGCTTTTTTTTGTTGATTACCACAGTTTATATGAACATCTATTGGTCTCACACTTGAGAAATAATCATCTCTATTTTTAGAAATTCTGCCTCTTTTTATTCTGATTCTGGCCTGGTGCTGGTGTGCAGTTTTGGTTGTGTTGACTAATTATATATGGGCATCTCTTGATTCATATTTGAAAAATCAGTATTTCAGTTTTATGAGTTCTGCATTTTCCATACATCTTAATTAAAAAAATTTTGTTATTGTTGAAGACAGGGTCTTACGATGTAACCCTAACTGGCCTTGGAACTCACTATCTAAAACAGGCTGGCCTCTGATACCCTGCAGGGTAGAGCCTTTTAGAAGCCCTCTGTGGTAGACTCCTGTCCTCTTCCCCGTTTTCTCCCTGCAGGAGCTCCACAAGGAGAGCAACAGAACCAAAAAATCTGGGCACAGCAGTCTTTTCTGAGACTGATACTCCACCCAAGGACCATGCATGGAGATAACCTAGGACCCTTGCACAGATGTAGCCCATGGCAGTTCAGTGTCCAAGTGGGTTCCATAGTAATGGGAACAGGGACTGTCTCTGACATGAACTGATTGGCCTGCTCTTTGTTCACCTCCCCCTGAGGTGGGAGCAGCCTTACCAGGCCACAGAGGAAGACAATGCAACCACTCCTGATGAGACCTGATAGACTAGGATCAGAAGGAAGGGGAGGAGGACCTCCCCAATCAGTACACTTGGGGAGGGGCATGTGTGGAGAAGGGGGAGGGAGGATGGGATTGGGAGTGGAGGAGGGAGGGAACCACAGGGGGGATACAAAGTAAATAAAGTGTAATTAATAAAAATAAAAAATAAATTAAAAACATGCTGGCCTCAAACTCAGAGATGCATCCTCTCATCTCTTTGTCCTTGAGTGCTAAGATTAAAGGTGTGTAGCACCAATCCTGATGTTTTTGGTCTGGTTCTTACTAGGACAGTTTCTAGGCTTGCCAACACATGGTCAGTATGTTAAACCCTTTCCTTTTGGAACTTGGTAGTTGCATGACTCACTGGTGTTTGGTTTTTGTTTTTGTTTGTTTGTTTTCTACCAGGTACCCAGAGTATATAGAACCTTTATTCTATTGTAATTCCATCCTTCTCTGTTTTTCCTTCTAACCTTCATTGGGAGGTCCAGGGAGTAAAGGTTAGCCATTAGTTTTTGTTTTTGTTTTTATTTTTTAAGACAGGGTTTCTCTGTGCAGCCCTGCCTGTCCTAGAACTCACTCTGTAGACCAGGCCAGCTTCAAACTCAGAGATCTGCCTGCTTCTGCCTTTCAAGTGCTGGGATTAAAGGTGTGCACCACCACAGCCTGGCAAGGCTATTAGTGCTGGGACTGAAGGTGTGCGCCACCACAGCGCGGCAGCCATTAGTTTTTTGTATGGGTTTTGTTAATGGAGTGCCTTTTAGTTCAGATCCTTCCTTCTCTACCTCCACAGTGCTGAGAATACAAGCACCTGCGTGAACCAAACTAGGTCTTCATGCTTGAAAGGCAAGCACATTACTAATGGATCTTTCCCCCTCAGCCTAGTATTTTTATGCTACATAGATAGACATGGTATCTGTTTGTCTGTCTATAGTCTTATTTTGAGGCAGGGTTGTTCTAATATGTATGTAGCTCAGGCTGCTCTCAAACTCGATTCTACTTTAGCCTTCTAAATATTGACATTATAGGAGTGAGTACTGTTCCTGTCTTATATAATATCGTTTTAGATTTAGTTATTTTTACATGTCTGATTGTTTGCCTGCCTGTGTGCTTGTTACCCATTGTGGTTAGAAGAGGACATTGGATTCCCTGAAACTGGAGTTATAGGTAGTTAGGAGCTGCCATGTGGGCGATAGAATTGAACCTGGGTAGGCTGGTTAAGGTCACTACTCTTAACCACTGAACCATCTTTCCATCCCACTTATACAATATTTTTAATGTGTTTCAACTATGATGTAATGTAAGATCAGGTGATAAAACGTTGGCAGTCAAGAAGTTTGTTTGTAAACATTGGTTATTGTCATTATTCTAGGTACTTTTACTATAATTTTATTTAACAGAAGCAGCTGGGGTGGTTTTAGCAAACACTTGCCTTTTTTTCCAGGAAGCTTGGGGTTTTTTGTTTTTGTTTTTGTGTTTGTGTTTGTTTTTGATGTGCATGCACTTCCAGCAATCAGTGATGGTCTGGAGAAAGGCCACAGCCATTTCTGCTGAGTTTTAGGCAGTACTTCTGGACATTTTGTTCTAACACTGCTGATTTAGGAGCCAAAGTTCCTGTCACCATTATGTAGGCCTTGGCTATTGGCCACTTTGTTCACTGTAACTCTCTGATCTGTTTATGGCCTTCAGTAACCAAAGTACCATCCTGGACAGGTCTCTTGCAGGCAGCACATCACAAACTGAAGAAGGATTTTCATCCCAGAGTCTGACATGCTGTTCTGATCAGTGTGCCATGTTATACACATGTGGTAGGGCTAAAAATACTTCCTTTATTAGCTTTTGTGCCAAGCCCGTCTTTCTGTGTTTCACAGGGTTTTGTTTTATGTAAATTATCTCATGGGAAGATGACTGAGAATGGAGCTAGGAATTACTTTTGTAAGGAGTGGAACAAAAATAGCTTCATAGGGCTAGAGGAATGGCTTAGCAGTTAACAGTGCTTGCTGCTTTTCCCTAGGACCAAGTTCAGCTCCCAGCACCCATAGTGTATAGCTCACAACTGCCTGTAACTCCAGCACCATTGTCTGGACCCCACAGGTTTTCACACACTTGGAGTATAGAATCAGATGCATACATATAAACATAAAATAATGAAAATAAATCTTTAAGAACAAAACAGCTCCTTTCCTACAGTATGTAGAGACAGCTTGGACCAGTGGGATGGCTCAGACCTGTCAATCCTAGTTTAATCCCCACTACTCATGTGGTGGGAGAACTGACCCCTGCAAGTTGTCCTCTGCTTAACAAATGTGCACTCTGACAGGCATGCCATCTCCCTCTCCAACACACATAATAAATAAGTGTAATAAACATTTGAATAAAATTCCCATTATAATTTTGATTAATGACAGAAAGTGGAGAAAAGTGGAATAATTAAGGTGTGAATATATCCTTCTTTGATAAAGATAGACTCAGTGTAACAAATTAGGTTCAGAGTGTGTATGCTCATCTGAACAAATACCAGCCTCGTGCAAAGACTTTACTGTCATGCTTATTTTGTTTTCTTAGCCACTGATCCCAGGAACCACACTGTAATGTTTGACACACTGAAAGACTGGTGTTGGGAGCTGGAGCGGACCAAGGGTAGTGTGAAGTACAAAACAGTGAGTGTGAATGAAGACTACAAAGTCTGTGACAGGTAAGCTATCCACGATGGCTGTTACCATTAGTTACATAGATCATATAGTAGGGTTCTCTGAAGAAGCAAGTCTTATAGAATGGGGATATGATATTCACTCTCACTCTTCTCTCTCTCTCTCTCTCTCTCTCTCTCTCACACACACACACACACACACACACACACACACACACACTATTAGGTTTCCTATACGGTATGGTCTCGGGAGTCCGATAATAGCTGCCTCACACTAGAGAAACTGAGAATCCAGGCGCAGCTCAGTCCACAAGGCTGGCTATCTCAGCAGTTCCAGCCTAGCACTGAAGGGTTGGAGGATTCCTGGAGAGCTATTGAAATGTTGAAGAAGTTGGTTCTGATACCAGCAAAGGAATACCACAGTATCAGATACATGATCTTGTCAGTAAAAGTGAAGGCAAGCAGCCATAAAAACAGGTCTCTTCTTTGTCCTTTTGTCCAGGCTGCCAGAAGGTACCACCCACATTTAGTGTATCTTTCTACTTCAGATCTGATCAGGAAAATCCCTCACAGAAGTGCCCAGAAGCTTGTGTTTTAGTTCATTTCACAGACAGTCAAGTTGACAACCAAGACGAGTCATCACATATCCCATGGAGCTGGAGTCACAGGTGTCTGTGACTTGTCTGTGAAGTGGGTGCTCTGAACTGAACTTGGGTCTTTTGGAAGAATAGTGTACACAGCTATGATTAGCGATGTACGCTTTTAATCCCAGCACTTGGGAGGCAGAGACAGGTGGATCTCTGAGTTTGAGTCTAACCTGGTCTACATAGCAAGTTCAGCAACAGCCAGGGCCACATAGAGAGACCCTGTCTCAAAACAAAACAAACCACTAAGCTGTCTCTCCAACCCCCAACACTGTTTGAATGTATTGACATTGTTCTACAGTTAGAATCTTAGTAAGTTTTAGGACATTTTAATCATTCTGGAAAGAAAATCTAAATTTGATAGTCATCCCACATTTTGCCTCTGTTTTCATCTCTGTCCAAGTCCCTAAGCAAATGATATATTTGCCTGTTCTGGACATTTTTTTATATTAAAAAAAAAAAACATAGAATAGGTGGTCTTTAAATGACTGCCTTCTCTCTTTAATTTTTTAATTTATTATTATTATTTTTGAGACAGAGTCTTTCTTTAGAGCCCAGGTGCGTCTAGAACTCACTAGTTAGTCCAAATTAGCCCCAAACCGAAGGTCTTCCTGCCTCAGTCTCCTGAGCATCCAGTACAGACATGCACCAGCACCTCTGGCTTTTTCTTTTTATTACCAAACAACAATATTTTATATTTTATTTATCCTTTCTTTTGTTGATGGATATTTGGGTTGTTTTAGTTCAAGGCTTTTCTATATAAAACCGTCACAAATATTTATGTAGAAGTTTTATGAGGATATGCTTTTTATTTCTTTCTGGTATATAATCTAATACAGTGCCAAAACGTGTGATTAATTGTGTTTAGCTGTTTAAGAATTATCAGACTGACTGCCTCAGAGATTGTGCTCTTTGGCACTCCCATCAACTATGTACAGATCCCTTCCTTCAACTATAGCTTTTATTTTTATTATTTGTGTGTGATGTTGAAGACAGCTGTCAAGGCTTGACAGAAGCTTTTAACAGAAGTCCGTAGAGCATCTATTATTAAGACACTCAACAGTAGGGTTGGGAAGATGGCTTAGTTGGTAGAGTGCTTCCCACACAAGGATGAGGACCTCAGTTTGATCCCTAGAACCCATGTAAAAGAAATGTATGTGTAATGGAAGTGCTGGGGAGGTCAAGATAACCTGATTCCTAGGGCTTGCTGGCTCTCCAGTCTAACCAGCTGGTGAGCTCCAGATTCGTTGAGAGACCCTTTCTGAAAAAGATGGCTTAGCAGGTAAAGCAGTTTGCATGATCCTGCTGTTCATCTCAGAACCTAATGCAGAAGTAGAAAGCTGACTCCTGAAGACTGTTGCCTGGCCGCACATGCATTCAGACATCAGACACACAAGAATACATAGAAAAAAATTCAAGGTAGAGAGCTACTGAGACTGATACTTGGTGAAATAGGGCACTTGCCTGTCATATATGAGGCCCTGGTTTCAATATCAGTATTAAAAAAAAGTTCTGTGGAGAAACAGATCAGGCAAAAGGTGGGGAGAACTGGAGGTGGTGGAGAAGAGGGTGGTCAGGAAGGTCCTGGGGCTAAGTGGCCTTTCATCAGAGCCAGGAGAAGGAGAGTCCAGAGAAGCCTGGTAGGCAGGAACATCCAGGGCAGGGCTGTGTGTGCTTCAGCAAGAGGCCCAAGGACTAGGGAGGAGCAGGCCAGAGAAAGGGGTAAGGAGAAGGGATGGTTGGATGCTTCCAGAAGAATTTATCCCTTTTCATTTTGAGAACAGTGAGGGGGAGTTTGAGCAGAAACAGGGAGTGATCTGGCCTACATTTTTAAAGGATGACTCTGTGGATCTGTTTTTAGAAACTTGAGTCTTATCATTTGAGAACATAACTTCCTAGCAGTCTGCTGACAGCTCCATAAAATACTGTTGGTTCATAGTACTTTTTATATTGGGCTGTCTTGGGCTTCTTCAGCATAGCAGCTTTGATTTCGACCAATCTGAAACATGGACAGGGCAACCCACTCCCCTATTCTGTCTAGGAAAGAAGGAGAAACTAGCTGGCTGTTTGGGTGTCACAGGCCTATTGCTTCTCTTTTTCAACTCCTAAATCCTTACTTCACTCCACTTCCTTGTGGAGATACAAGAAGGTGTATAGCCCCATGGAGTGGGTGCTTTGCAGAGGGACCCATGAACCAGTGGCAACACAGCGAGATGTAGCTCTGTGCTTGGCTTACCCTCACCAGACTATAGCTGTGCCATGACTGGGTTGACCAGCTTCCCAGCTTCCATTGAAGCTGCCCCAAGAAAGGCTCTTTACTCTGAACTTATCCTGCTACTTCAAGGGGCTGTTTTGAAGAGGAAGACTAATTGCTCATAGTCTCAGACTGCCTGGGATCCACTAGAGCTAAATGGGATAAGTGAGAACACCCTCCACCCTGTGCCTGGAGTGGTGCTTTTCAATAGTGCTCAGGGACAGGGACTCAGATTTACTAGACGTTCTTTTTGTGGATGAACAGCTTCATATAAGATGACATTAACCAGAGAGGTAACACTGTGGAGTATTTAATCTTACTAGGTGGGGAAGACATGCAGAGTTATTTAGGTCCAGGGCCCACTGCAGCTTAATAGAACGCAATATTGAAGAAGGTGCATTGAGAACTCCTCAGTGGCCCGTGTGGGAGTTACAGTCCAGTCAGGGCTTCCCAGTGTTAGATAAGCAGGTGCTGACTGGGCAGGTGGAGTGAGCCGAGCCTGCATTTCTCAACAGATTCTGCTCTACCCTGATAGCATGGCATTCCAGAACATTCCAGAACAGCAGTTTTAATCCCCTGCATTCTTGGAGAGCTTTAAGCTTCTGGTTTGTAATCAGGGACTCAAGCCTGGATTTTGGTAATTTTCTAATTTTTCACTCTGCTTTTAATGGGCTTGAGTTTAAAAGCCATTGTTCTGTGAAAGTGCTTTTACTTTAGTGACCATCCCTAAAGAAAGGTTAGCTTACTGCCCACCTACTCAGGCAAGTATATAAGAAAATGTAAGTACCTCAGAACTTCAGAAGTCAAAGTCTTAATTCTGTTTGTGACTTGAGGGCCTTAGCCATGACCAGTGGTTCACAGACCTTAGTGTACATCATGGTCTCATGGGATCTTTGTCCTTTTAAAATTGTCTGCATGGAGGTAAAAAGAAGTTTGGTGCGTGCGTGCGTGCGTGTTTTGAGACGGCTTCACTATATGTCCCAGGCTAGCCACCCAAATACTAGGATTATATGAACATAGGATTTTGGAAACATTTCTCTTTCATCTTTTTAATTTATTCTTAATAAAGATTCAGAGTAGTATTTTTTGCCATTTATTGATAGGGTTCTTAAATTGCTTTATGTGTAGGTACTTACACCATCATTTTTTTCTTGAGGATATCAAACTGTTTGCTAATTGTTTCCCACAGTGTGGAGTTTGATGACTACACTTCCTCGTGATTTTAGTATGTTAGTCCACCTTCTAGGAATTGATTAATGGCTCAGTCATTTGTGTTCTGAACTCTTTGACTTTAAAGATCCATCTTTCTATGGTACTTGTGGAACGGTGGATAAGATTACTTTCTGGCCTTGCAGAGGACTAGGGATCCAGCACCTCTTCTGGTTTTTGAAGTCACTTGCATGGACATGGTACACAGACATACACTCAGGGACACACACATACACACAAAAACCTTTTTTAAAAAATGTCTCTGTTCCATGACTTGATGCTTGACAGATTGAGGTTAAACATGTAGCGCGTATATGCAAACATCATCTGATTATTCCGTTGCTGCTGAGCCACACAGGGGCCTTCTGTCTCGGGAGGCTTTATTTCAACTTCTTCGAAGGAAACATCTTTACAGCTCTTAGGGAGGAGTCTGTTGACTAGGAGCCAGTGTGCCCATGTTTTTGATCCCTGCAACTTGGAACAATCTAGCTTTCTCGTTGTCTGCTGTTCAGCTGGCTTATTCTTGTAGAGATGAAGTTTCTCCTGTAGATAATGAAATCACAATGGCTCTAGGTCTCTGGTTGTAACCCAGGAAGACCCTCAATTTCCTAGTTTCTTTCTGTAAAATGTAAATAATTATACTGAATACCTGATAGATGTTGGATTAAGTGAATCATGTGATGGATTAGAATGGTGTCTGCCACAGAGGCGCACTCCTTAAATATTTGTTGTTGGCAAAACTTGTTTTATAAAATTTGGTCTTTCTTCTTTTGTTATTGTTTTGTTTTTGTGTTATTGTTGTTTTGAGACAGGCTTTTTTTTTTTTTTTTTTTTTTTTTTTCATCCCTGGCTTTCCTGAAACTCACTATGTAGACCAGGCTGGCCTTGAACTCAGAGAACCTGGCTCCTAAGTGTTGGGATTAAAGTCATGTGCCACCTTGCCCATCTCAGAGCATGTGATGAAATGGACAACAGTCATCATGGTTACTGATTTTTAGTTTAATTATAAGTGACACAGGTGTTTATGTTGTTACTGGACTTCATATGCTTTTAGATTTTCCAACCTCCCCCTTTTTTAGTGCTGAAGATTAAATCTAGGGCCTTGTGCATGCTAGGCAGGGGCTCTGTTGCAGAGATGGGCCCACATCCTCCATCTCCCTCATTTTGTTGAAGAGGACAGACACAGAAAGAAAACAACTCGCCTTCCTTGCTGACAGAGGCAGGGCTGTGCGGAGCCTTAGGCAGAGCTCGGGTTGGAATCCAGATTGCTAACTTATTTGGTCAGAATATTTATTACCAGCCCAGGGATGGCAGTTCATCTGAGCTGGTTCTTAAAAGGAAAGTGTGGTCCTTTTGGTAGTTCCGTGTTACTTCCTTGTATTCACTGATGGGAGGTTTTGCGTTTTGTGAAATAAGTGTCTTAACCAAAAGCCGATGCTGTCTCTTCTAGGTTGCCAGCATACTTTGTTGTCCCTATTCCCCTTCCTGAAGAGGATGTACAGCGTTTCCAGGGCCGTGGCATACCAGTAAGTATGTCCGGAAACTGGGAGAGGAGACATCAGCGGCTCTTAGCCGATCCTAGCATCCTCCTCCTTAATGCACTTGCCTTTAGTGCTCCAGAGTTTGTCTATAGTCTAAGAATAATCCAAAAATACAACAGGGAGCCAGGCATGGTGGCACATGCCTTTAATCCCAGCACAAAGGAGGCAGAGGCAGGCGGATCACTGTGAGTTCAAGGCCAGGACAGCCAAGGCTACACAGAGAAATCCTGTCTCCGGGAAAAAAATAAAATAATAATAATAATACCACCACAGAGACCCCCTTAGCAGCCTCCTAAACATGAGGCTCCCTGGGACAGGTTTGAAGTCATCACAAATTGAAAAGCTCTTGGAGGATAATAGGCCTGCCTGTTTTAACACTTAAGTCATAACATTCTTTTTGGCCAGCTCTGTTAATCTTGGTATGGGCATGCTGAGTTTTCTCTAGAGACAACATGAAGCACACCTTAGTTTTCCTAGAATAGAATGTGATAGGAACCATATTTAATATGTCACTGACCAAATAAAGGAAGACTAGATGACACCTCTACTTCTAATTGTTGCCTTGGAGTTACCAAGCCTGTGGGAATGAGAAGAAATGAGAATTATAAGGAAGTGCTGTGCAGTTTACAAGGCTGGTTTGCCAGAAGAATCTTGAGTGTGAGCCAAGATGGTGAAACAACCATCATATGCCTAGAGCCAATAGAGGGGAGTCTGGGCAGGTAATGAGCATGGCCCTTATAGAGGGCCAGAGTCCCTCTGCCTGGCCCAGGGGACAGCTCTTCAGTACCAGCCTGTAGCGCTGTCAGTTGAATATTGTCAGATGGCCAGATTTTGTTTTTTCCCCAGAGGAAGCCAGAGATACAATATTTCTATGTGAGTTTTTCTGATCTCCAACTAGATGCAGCGAAGTCTGAGAGTTTCAAAAAGTATTCTTTGGAATAGAACAGGATCACATTCCACCAGTTTTCAGTCATTGATTGATGGCTATGGTTTCCATATATGCCTTTACACTCATGAAAAGTACTGTGGCTCTGAAAGAGTTTTTGTTTATGTGGCTTTTGTTATATTAGAAATTCCAGTTGGAACTGGGTGTAATGGCTCATGCCTATAATCCCAGCACTAAGGAGACTGAAGCAGGAGGATTGCTGTGAGTTTGAGGCCAGCATGGACTTCATAAGTTTTAGGCCAGTGTAGGCTACAGAGTTAGACATTGTTAAAGTTTTTTAAACCTGAAATTTAATGAAAAAAATTTAAGTAACACGTGTTAGTATAAGCAATATATTTTTATGGAAAATAACCATCCAAAACAGTAAAATGGAATAGACTATTTGGCATTTTGGAAGACAGCTAGATTTTTTTTTAATTAATTAAATTTTTTTTAATTTATTACAATCTATTCACTTTGTATTCCAGCTGTAGACCCCTCTCTCTTCCCCTCCCAAGCCCGGCTTCCCTCCCTCTTCTCCCAAACTTCTCCCACAGTCCACTGATAAGGGAGGTCCTCCTCCCCTTCCATCAGACCCTAGCCTATCAGGCCTCATCAGGACTGGCTGCATTGTCTTCCTCTGTGACCAGGCAAGGCTGCTCCTCCCTTCAGTGGCAGGTGATCAAAGAGTCGGCCACTGAGTTCATGTCAGAGATAGCACCCATTCCCCTTACTAGGAAACACACTTGGAGACTGAGCTGCCTTGGGCTACATCTGTGCAGGGATTCTAGGTTATCTCCATGAATGGTCCTTGGTTGGAGTATCAATCTCAGAAAAGACCCCTGGACCCAGATATTTTGGTTGTTGCTCTCTTTGTGGAGCTTCTGTCCCCTAAAGGTCTTTCTATCTCCCCCTTCTTTCATGAAATTCCCTGCACTCTGCCTAAAGTTTTGAAGATTGATCATCTTAGCCAGGGTCCGCCTCCTGCTTAGCTTCTTTAGGTGTACAGATTTTAGTATGTTTATCCTATATTATATGTCTAATATCCACTTATAAGTGAGTATGTAACCATGTGTGTCTTTCTGCTTCTGGGATACCTCACTCAGGATGATCTTTTCTAGTTCCCACCATTTACCTGCAAATTTCATGATTTCCTTGTTTTTAATTGCTGAATAGTATTCCACTGTGTAAGTGCACCACAATTTCTGTATCCATTCCTCAGTTGAGGGACATCTGGGTTGTTTCCAGGTTCTGGCTATTACAAATAAATGTAATACAAATAAATTTGTATTACAAATATGGTTGAGCAAATGTCCTTGTTGTATACTAGAGCATATTTTGGATTTATGCCTAGGGAGTGGTATAGCTGGACCTTGAGGCAGCATTACTCCTAATTGTCTGAGAAAGTGGCAGATTGATTTCCAAAGTGCTTGTACAAGTTTGCATTCCCACCAGCACTGGAAGAGGGTTCCCCTTTCTCTACCTCTCCAGCCTGTATTGTCGCTTGACTTTTTGATCTTAGCCATTCTGATGAGTGTAAGGTGAAATCTCAGGGTCGTTTTGATTTGCATTTCCCTGGTGACTAAGGACATTGAGCATTTCTTTAAGTGTTTCTCTGCCATTCGATATTCCTCTATTGAGAATTCTCTGTTTAGCAATCTGTATCCCATTTTTTAATTGGATTAGTGATTTGTTACTGTTTAACTTCTTGAGTTCTTTATATATACTGGATATTAGCCCTCTGTCTGATATAGGGTTGGTGAAGGTCCTTTCCCAGTCTGTAGGCTGTTTTGTTGTAATGACAATGTCTTCTTCTTTACAGAAGCTTTTCAGTTTCATGAGGTCCCATTTATCAATTGTTGCTCTAAGAGCTTGGGCTGTTTGTGTTCTGTTTAGGAATTTTTCTCCTGTGCCAATGAGTTCAAGGCTCTTTCCCACTTTTTCTTCTAACATGTTTAGTGTGTCCGGTTTTATGTTGATGTCTTTGTATCCACTTGGATTTTAGTTTTGTGCAGGGTGATAAGTATGGATCTATTCGCATTTTTCTACATGTAGATATCCAGTTAGACCAGCAACATTTATTGAAGAGGCTATCTTTTTTCCATTGTATGGTTTTGTCATCTTTGTCAAAAATCAGGTGTCCATAAGTGTGTGGGTTTATTTTTGGGTCTTGTATTTTATTCCATTGATTTACCAGTCTGTTTTTATTCCATTACCGTGCAGTTTTTATTACTGTTGCTATATAAGACAGCTTGAGGTCAGGGATGGAGATACCTCCAGAAGATCTTTTATTGTGGAGGATTGTTTTATCTATTCTGGGTTTCTTGTTATTCCATATGAAGTTGAGAATTTTTCTTTCAAGGTCTGTAAAGAATTGTAATTTGATAGGAATTGCATTGAATCTGTAGATTGCTTTTGGTAAGATGGCCTTTTTTACTATGTTAATCCTGCCAAGCTATGAGTATGGGAGATCTTTCTATCTTCTGATATATTCTATTTCTTTCTTCAGAGACTGGAAGTATTTTTTCATACAAGTCTTTGACTTGCTTGGTTAGAGTTACACCAAGATACTTTATGTCCTTTGTGGCTATTGTGAAGGGTGTTGTTTCCCTAATATATTTCTCAGCCCATTTGTATTTTTGTATACAGAAGAGCTGCTGATTTTTTTTTTTTTTAGTGAATTTTTTATCTAGCCACTTTGCTGAAGGTGTTTACCAGCTATAGGAATTCCCTGTTAGAATTTTTGGGGTCACTCATATATATTATCATATCATCTACAAATAGTGATACTTTGACTTCTTCCTTTCTGATTTGAGTCCCCTTGATCTCCTTTAATTGCTTATCGCTCTAGGAAGGACTTCAAGAGCTATGTTGAAGAGATATGGAGAGAATGGGAAACCTTGTCTTGTTCCTGATTTCAGTAGGAATGATTTACGTTTCTCTCCATTTAGTTTGATGTTGGCTATTGGCTTGCTGTATATTGCCTTTGCTATGTTTAGGTATGTGCCTTGTATCCCTGATCTCTCAAGGGCTTTAAGCATAAACGAATGTTGGATTTTATCAGATGCTTTTTCAGCATCTAAGGAAATGATCATGTGGTTTTTTCTTTCAGTTTGTTTATATGGTGGATTACATTGATGGATTTCTGTATATTGAACTGCCCCTGCATGCCTGGGATGAAGCGTACTTGGTCATGGTGGATGATATCTTTGATATGTTCTTGGATTCAGTTTGCGAGTATTTTGTTGAGTATTTTTGCCTCAACATTCATAAGGGAGATTGGCCTAAAATTCTCTTTCTTTGCTGGGTCTTTGTGAGGTTTAGGTATCAAGGTGAATGAGTTTTGTAATGTTCTTTCTGTTTCTATTTTGTGGAATAGTTGGAAGAGAATTGCAGTTAGGTCTTCTTTAAAGGTCTGGTAGAATTCTGTGCTGAAACCATCTATCCCTGGGCTTTTTTTGGATGGGAGACTTTTGATGACAGCTTCTATTTCCTTAGGGGATATAGGACTATTTAATTGATTTACCTGGTCTTGATTCAGCTTTGGTAAGTGGAATTGATCAAGAAAATTGTCCATTCATTTAGATTTTCAAATTTTGTGGCATATAGGCATTTTGTAGTAAGACCTAATGATAGTTGGGATTTCCGCAGTGTCTGTTGTTATGTCCCCTTTTCATTTCTGATTTTGTTGACTTGGATAGTGTCTCTCTGTCTTTTAGTTAGCTTGGTTAAGGGTTTGTCTATCTTGTTGATTTTCTCAAAGAACCAGCTCTTGATTTCTTTGATTCTTTGAATTGTTCTCTTTGTTTCTAGTTTATTGATTTCAGCCCTGAGTTTGATTATTTCCAGTCATCTACTCCTTTTGGGTGTGTCTGCTTTTTTTTCTAGTGCTTTCAGGTGAGCTGTAAGATCCTTGTATGAGATGTTTCGAATTTCTTTTTGAAGGCACTTAGTGCTATGAACTTTCCTCTGAGCACTGCTTTCATTGTGTCCCATAAGTTTGGGTATGCTGTGCCTTCACTTTCATTGAATTCTAGGAAGTCTTTAATTTCTTTCTTTA